TAATATTACATTAATTTATTTTTATGGTATCTCACAAAAATGAATTGAAATGTTTTAAATATTTTATTACACTTCACGTTAATTTACTTAACCGACAAAGACTTAAGTATATATTTCTTCATCCAACTGGATTAAAAAACTCGTATCCAGTGCCGTAAGCCATTACATTAAAACTAAAATATTTTCTATGTGGCAACAACTTAATATTTAATAATGTTAATGGTGTGGTATTGATAGAATTGTAAAAGTTTATCTTTTTATATAGAATTAATAAAACTAAATTTAAAATTATTAACGTATTTTAATTTTTCTCCGGTTTCTGCGGTTCACCAACCTATTCAGTGATTTGAATTGGCACGGGTCTACCCTACCCTACTTTAAACTTAATGGATAATAATTGAATTTCAAAAAATGTTAATAAAGTCAAATATAATAAAAAATAAAAAAATCTATTTTTAAAAAAACTAAGAATGAATAATTATAAATTATAATACAATTTTTGGCAAATTTTTGACTAAGTTAGACCATACAAGTGACCTCTGAATTTGGAAAGGTGCAATTTGAATTTTTGATACTTGCAGTCTTAAAAATTATATACGAATAATTATATATAAGAAATATTTCCAAAAAGTTCACTGATGATGGGTGGTATTTGGCAATACTGGAAACAGCTGCATAGTATAGTGAGCCAAAAATCTAATGAATTAAAAATAAATAATTTTGTTAATGATAATTTTTTTATTTTGCCGAAAGTGACGCGTCTTTTGACGAAAAGAAACTATTTAAAAGTCAGAAGGGTTCGAATAGAAATGAAAACACAGCAACAAAAAACTTTTAGTTAATTTCTGTTTCTAGTATTGCCAAGTACTCATCATCAGTGGTCTTACGAAATATTTGAATTATTTAATATTTTAATAAAATTTTGTTGTTAAGTACTGTTTAAAAACTTTTCTATTAAAAATTAGTTTGTTAGTAATGACAAATATCCAACATAACTAATCTTTAGAAATATTTTTAAGATAATTAAATTATTTGTATATATTGTAATTTTTTAGATTGCTAGTAGCAAGGTTTGACTTGCACCCTGAGTCCCATTTTAGATACCTGACCCAATGTTGTTGTTAAAGCTAGAACAATACAAATCAAGTATGGCGACGGTTAAGACGTCTAACATGTGACTCTGCGCTTTAAATTTGACAGAGCACAAGTTCAATTCTTGCGATCAATATAAGAAATTATATATGAAAAACTAAATCCAAAAAGTACAAAAACCACCGATGAAGACTATTTGCCAATATTCAAAATATTTATCTCGTGACTAGTATTTCTTTACTGTTTACACCTTTTATATATAAATTTTTACTTAAATAGTACAATTAGTAGTACTGCTGTTTATATATTAATTTTTTTTAAATATATTATATGTATTATTGTATAAAATCATTTATTTTTATACTCGAATGCTGAACAAAGTTTGTGATTTGTTTAACTGATTTTTATATCAAATCAATCAATTAAATCTGTTTACAATCTATAAAACATCAATCACATTAACCCAAATAAAAGTTAAACAAAAAATTGAAGCACATTATTTACACAAAAACCTTGACAACCAAATTTGGTTAAGATATACTTAAGTCAATTATTTAAGAGGTGTTATTCCGTTTCTACATAGGGAATGATTCATACAGCTTCCATAATAAATAAAACTTATTTGCTATTTTTTTTTTGATTTTTCATATATAAAGTATAATTAAATATATTTAATAATTAATAACTTAATAAAAATATAATATTAATTTATATATGTTTACGTTTTAGGAACAAGTTAAACTTGATGCCACCAAGCAGGTAACCAGTCCTGATGACTGTGAGGATCTCAGTCCTATGCCACAAACAGCTGCTCCACCTGTGCGACGACGTGGAGGTATATCCGCTGAACCAGTCACTGAAGAAGATGCTACTAGTTACGTTAAAAAAGTTGTACCCAAAGACTATAAGACAATGGCTGCTCTTTCGAAAGCAATTGCTAAAAATGTGTTATTTTCACATTTAGATGAAAACGAACGTTCAGATATTTTCGATGCAATGTTCCCTGTGACACATTTAATGGGCGAAAATATTATACAACAAGGTGACGAGGGTGACAACTTCTATGTACTTGATCAAGGGGAAGTTGAGGTAAGAAAAATCAATTAAATAAATAATATATGAAAATTTTATTAAACTTATTTAATATTTAAAATTTTAAAGGTATTCGTAAACTCAGAAATGGTAACCACAATTGGAGACGGTGGTAGTTTTGGTGAATTGGCACTAATTTATGGTACACCTCGTGCTGCTACTGTACGAGCAAAAACTGATGTAAAACTTTGGGGTATTGATCGGGATTCATATAGACGAATTTTGATGGGTTCAACTATACGTAAAAGAAAAATGTACGAAGAATTCTTGTCACGAGTTTCAATTTTAGGTAATTTGATATGATTATTAATTATATGATATATAAATTTATTTACATGATGTATAAAAACTATTTTACTATATAAAATATTATATACAATTAAATTTTTAGAGAGTCTTGATAAGTGGGAACGTTTGACTGTCGCTGATGCACTTGAGACTGTATCGTTTGAGGATGGAGAAACAATTGTTAAGCAAGGTGAACCAGGTGATGATTTCTACATTATAGTAGAGGGTTGTGCTGTTGTGTTGCAACGACGTGCTGAGGTTAGTATATATTATAAAAAAATAAAATTTTCTTGTTTATCAATAAAAATATTAATTAATTATTATTGAATTTTAGCAAGGCGACGAACCTGCAGAAGTTGGTCGTTTAGGTCCAAGTGATTATTTTGGTGAAATCGCTTTGCTTTTAGATCGTCCTAGAGCAGCAACAGTAGTGGCAAGAGGTCCACTAAAATGTGTAAAATTGGATAGAGCGAGGTAAGTAGATTTGTATTTAAAATAAAATGCGTTACAAAATCTATCAATGATAATAAAAAAATTATTAATAATAGATTTTTTAACTTACATTAAAAATTGGCTATTTAACTATTTTAAAAACTAACCGATTATATTTTATTGACATTTTTAGATTTGAACGTGTTTTGGGCCCATGTGCGGATATTCTTAAACGTAACATCACTCAATACAATAGTTTTGTTTCATTGTCTGTTTAAGGCAACATTGTATTGTAAAATTTAATATTACACAACATTATAAGACCCTAAAACACAAATACAATCAAAATAACATCTCTACTTAGCGCAGCGGATTTAATATTTAGGTATTTTATACATATTTTAATCTTTTTAAATTATTTTCATTACTAATACGAAGAACAAAGCCTAAACACTGCTAACGGTATAAAAAATATAACTAAATAGAAAAAACCAAAATTAACAATTTAATATATATACATTTAACTGTAAAAAAAAAGAATTGAATAGAGAATGAGAATTCTAATATAAATTTTTGTTTTGATACATTCAAAAAACATACTCTCCAAATTTAACAAACTGCTTCAATTAAAAACTACAAATTTTAATAATAATTTAAACATAACAAAAAATTATGATAAAAAACGTAACAAAAATGATGAATTGTTAAAAAATAAATGCATTATGAGCTCTTCTAGTTTTAAGGAATTCTGCATTATTTATATAGTTTTAATTGTTTTTGTCTATTGACTGTTTTGTAATTGTTTACAAGCTCACACAATTATTAAATGAATTGATTTATAGTGAATATGCACTGAATTGTATTAAAAACATAAAATCATTATCGATAATAAATTAAAGTTATTTCGAGTATTGCTGTTGCAATCAAACATTCTGAAGTTTACTTTATTATAATTAATAATAAATGCAAAATACATCTCGTATATATGAGTATAAAGTACTTATCAATTTGCAACCCAAACAATGCATGTAACTCAATATAGAGCAGATCATATGTATAAATATAAATATTGTAAAATTATAATTCTCATTAATTTCAATTCTATCAATTTCAACTTTAGTCAGATAAAGATTTAGCCATTTTATTTTTATTCTAAAATTTGTTATTTATATTTGTTTACACTTAAAGATATTCATTTATTTTGAAAATGTATTAAAATATTTCACAATATTATTTTAATCTGTTGGTTGAATTGAATTAAAATTTGACAAAAAAATGATTTTTAGTTAAATTAAAAAATTCTGAATTTTTTTGTATGAATATTCATTTTTTTTGTCATTTTTAAAACATTAACGAAACGAATTAATTATCTACACTGAAATTATATATTTCAGCAATCTGACTGAAGTCTAAATAATTTTATTAATATAACTATTTTATTGATAAGGTACTTATATTATTTTAATTGCTGTAAATAAAAATAAGCAATTTTTATTAAACGATAATGGATATCATGTATGTATAAATATAGAATGCAAAATGTGCTTATAGTATGATTAATAATTACTTATTGGATTATATGTTTAATTTATAAAAAAATCTAGAGAGCTTATTGAAATATTACTAGCAAAATAATTTTATTTCCTAAAATAAGTAAAATTTTAGTTAAATTTCTCAATTATTTGCATAGTAGAATTAATATTTTAAAGTTTTCAATAATATGTTTTTTTTTAAATAATTAAATTATAATTATATACCTACCTAAAGTTCTTGATTTATTTATATTTAAAACAATTAGGTTGATATGTTGTAAAGAGTTAAATACAAATAAATTTATATTTATTATATTTTTTACCACAATGTTTCGTTAGTATTTTTCAAGAAATTCAGGGATAATATGTTTATTTTTAAATTTTATTCAAAAATAATTTTTAATCATTTTAATAACTCACAATTTATACATAATTAATAACAAACATATATTTCAGAAATATTTTATGAAGAAAATATATAAATTAACATAAGCCGTAATTTTTTCTTTCAGAGTAGCAAAAAATATACTCGCAACTTACGAAAGAAAACATGTGAAGCAAGAATAGTGCTCTTTAACTCTTCAGAGTTAGGTTTTACTAGTAATAAATTTCCAAATTCAAAAATCAGTCTATTGTGTATGTTTATTGGAAATATATTGCAAAATTTCATTCATCCGTTAAAATCATATAAACAGAAATATTAACACATTGCAATATATCAAAATAATAAGATAAAAAGTAGTTATTATTGCTCTTCTATTATTCATTTTGCTTTCTATTATTTATATTAATTAATTTTTAGTGTTTACAATTTTTATATTTCATATCGTATACAACACAACAAAAAATATAGTTTCAAAAAAAGTATTTGAGATATTTTAAAAATGATGCCAATTTGTTTCAACCAGACTTAATGTTGTTTTTTTTACAATTCTGAAAGAAAAAATTATGGCTTTAGTAAAATTCAACGTAAAGATGATAATTTGGCATAAAAGTAATTTTATTCTTAAAACTACTCATCGAAACCTTTATGCAACCTTAAATTTAATTAGTTTCAATAATAAATAATTTAATATATATAAAGTTTTTGTTTAAAACCAATTTAAATACAAAATTTTTTAAAGCTTATATTACAATATCTTGCATTATATCATTTAACTATACATACATATGTGTTTATCTAATTATCAGAAATTTTTTTATTTGCTATAAGTGTACTTTGTCGATTCATTAAAAATTACAAAAATAATTATTAACTTCCTTTTTCACTGAATGAGACTGTAAAACCATTAAATGAAAATCAAAATTTTTATTTTTAGTTCTCCATATAGCTCAAAAGTGAAATGTATATTTTTTAACCCAATCGATAAAATGCATTTAAAGTTAAGTTTTAGGCTCTTTGAAATAACAAAAACTAGAAAAAATCATTAACGATATAAAGTAAATAATTTAATTAAAACCATTATAAGAGGAAAATATTAAAAAAGAAAAACGCTGGTGCGTTTAACAACTATATATATTTCTGCAATTTGAATAAACAATACGAGTATGTACGAAAAGTATACATATTTATATGACAATGTTTAATAATCTAAATAATTCTTTAAATGCATACAGTTTTGATATATACTAACTCAGTAACAGACATACTTACATATAACATTAATAATGAACACAACTCAGCATACACAGAACATTAAATATTTTTGCAAATAATTGTAACAGTTTTTTAGCATAAAAAGTGTTAGTAAGGCATTTGTTATAGCCACTCACATGCAGGCATGATTTAAGAAGAAAATAAATGAAAATTTTAAAATGTTGAGAAAAAGCGGGCTTTGAATATACTTATAAGCTGATACCCGCCGGCGGGTTAAGAACAATAAATAAATTCTTTTTTTTTTTTACATAATAACGAAAATCGTAAAGACGGCATTGAAAAAGTATCGAAACAGCAAAGTTTTGAAATATTTATAGAGAAAAGTTTTATGTATTTTTAATGACTGTTTTCAAATATTTATATAAAAATGTTACGGAGAGCATCTTTGATAGTTATTAGAAAAAGGGCCAATAATGTTTATAAAAGTATATATATATTTTTATATATATGTATATTTTTATAATATGTAAATGCTTAACACAACATTATGTGACAAGTGTAATTTTTTAAAAATGATTAAATTCCTTTTTATATTAATACATAATTACTACTTTTGCAGTTAACTATAAATGACTTTAAATACTATTACTTAAGAATAATTCTTATAATATGTGTTTTTAAAATGATGAAACTGATACTTTTAACTCAAACAGAAAAAACAAAACTAAAATTAAACAATTCATATTTATTGTCAATATTTGTGTGTTATGTGGTACTTAATGTCATGATTTACATTTAAGAAATTAATGAAAAAAGCTGTTTAAGAACTATTATAAACGTATATATATACATATATATAATATATATAATATAAAAAACCATAAATTACACAAATACATACAAATGCATGTATACATAAAAATAAATGCTATAAATATATTCGTAACAAAAGTTGTGTTTGTTTTATACAATATTATATTTATGAACTTAAAGATATATCATATATATTAAATCGTTTGTATTAGTATACCTGATTGAAAATACAGTAGATGATCACAAATTGTGAATTTGAGTAGAGTAGGACAATTATGCAACAACAAAATATAAAGTAAAACTGATTTTATATATATGTGATATATGTTTAATATGTAATTTGTTTTTGCTCAGAGTACTTTCCCAATGAAATGGGCTGTAGTACTACTTCGTTTTTCGAGTAAATTCAATTTCCGAAAATTATACTTTATGCCGTGTTATTTTTATAAAAATAAAAAACAAAAATTCAATTTAATTCAAAAAAATTTATATTTGTATATAAAATCTTCGCTTTTTAGTTTTTGAAATAATGATATCATCCTTATGTAAGCCTGCAATATTAGGTCTGTTCCACGAGCTACTCGTAGTAACTTTAAGTAAAACTGAGTATACACAAGTTTTTTCCACCAGGAAATTTTCAAGTAAATGAGAGCATTTGAGAGAGCGTAACATCCCTGTTGAAATTTTACAAACATTTTATTTCAAGTAAAATTTGTGTTGATGTGTGAATCAGCTAATTTGGTTCGAACTTAAATTTTTGTATTGTTTATTTGCGCGACACTGCTATATTCACCAGACTTTTCCATGAATATCTGTGTAAAGAACGTAATTTGACACTTTATTTGTGTTAAGCTCTCAGTTTGTACTATACTTCTGTTTTACTTGAATTTTACTACGAGTAGTTCGTGGAACAGACCTGTTGATCATGGGCTTAGTTTATTACTTCTTTTACATCATTTTTAACAGGGTTTTTTTTTACATTTCTGACGGATCTTATTTTATACTTAAAATTTCTATTTTTCAACTAAATTTAAAATAAATATTATAATATTACCAACTATAATTTGATTAGTCTCCGTTGGAAGTACTTTTATTTTCTGGACTAAAGAGGTATCAATGATTGTGCCTATTGACAGATAAATTCAGGTTTACAAGCACAACTTAACTGTAAATCTATCAGGCTCTACCTGGCTTTTTTGAATGTCCTATTACGACCGATATGATTCCAGTATGAATTCTGTAGCTGTGCACGACGCAATAAAACAATATCTAATCTTTACAAAATGCAGTCCTACATATACCAAATGAAAAGATTGGTTGAGATACGGTAGAGATGGAAGTGATTATATTTTAAGTGATTTAAGAGATAAATATTTTTGGTTATGCGTATTTGAGATTCATGATGACTATTTAATGCGGTTTTCTTTTTGGTTCTATTTAAAGTTATAAGTTTCGTTTAAATGCACTTGACACTAACCAATTATATAGCTTTAGTCATTTAAACATGTTGTAAATGTACTAAATATTATAAGATCTTATATAGTTCAGTACATTTGGAGGCTTAACTTTTCAACGTAAAACGTCCCCATTGAAATCACTTTTACGGCGACACCTGGAGGAGTAGTGGTTTATGTTAAAAACATAGATTAGTATATGAAAGTGGGTAGTAGGGGCCTTTATTCTTTTAACCCCCAGATAACATATTTGGATTGCAAATTTTTTAGCTACCGAATTTTAACGTTCAAATTAGATTCCAATATCAAAACTTGCAATGTTTATAAAGTTTGCATATCTTTATTGTAAATTTTATTTAATTTAATGCATATTAATTTCATTTCAAAATAATCGAAAGAGAATTCAAATATATTATTTACCTTTCATTGGCATTTATCGTGTTTACTTTGCTTACTTACGGCGAGCTGGAGATTTCCGTTTTGCAACAGAATTACGTTTTAAAGGACGACTACATTTTGTAGCAAGATTACGTTTTATGAAAGAACTACGTTTTGAAGTAGACTTATGTTGACATATACACGTGGAGCTTCGTCCTCTACCTGGAAATATTCTGCTTTTCGTGTTAATCCCATAAAATTCAGTATCTGATTCTGTCATTTTAATCAAATTATTGAGTTGCATATTATATTTTTTTTTGAGGCTACCATAGAATGCCTATATTTTAATAAAGTAAAAAAATTGTTTCAATATCAAAAAAAAACATTAACTTAGTATAAGTTTTACGTCTTGCATATAAATCAGTTTATCGTCAGCATGTAAGTTGTTCCATTTATGAGCACCAAGGCGTATAGTTTCCTTTGTCGTTAAATCTTTGTGCTCTCTTTTATAATCTTTAAGAAAATTTATGTAAGGATTTGGTCCTTTATCAGTGGAGCTGGTTTCAAAGTGCGTATCTTTTAAGTAATTATTGGGACACCAAATTGTATGAGCATTGTTAATTGCTAACCTACAACTGTCACATAAGTCTTGATTTAAATAATTTTTTTTAAATTTATTTTTTCGAAATTTTTTTGAAGAAGACATCATTGCTAGCAATTTTCTTTCAGTAAAATTTCATTTTTTACGCAATGACAAAAATTTTGAAAGCAACATTAAAGGATCAAAATATTGAAACGCAATTATTTTTATTATCAAATTTTTAAATTCTTCATTTATTGTCAAATTATTTTTATATATGTAAAGTGATATTATTTAAATATATATTTAAATAACATATTCTTGATTCTTCTTGAGTTAGTGCTATTACGCACTTTTACTCTATAATGGCTGGGGGGCTTATCTCTACCCCACACTAGGCTTTAACTAGGCTAAGAAATCATATCATTTATTTGTCTTTTAGTTGATGACGGACCTTAAATGAGCATACCTTTCTGAGAATCCAGAATAACAGATGTTATAAAAATAATTTCATGTGGCAGGGATTCACACGAGAGCTTTGTTAATAATTGTAGCTGTCATGTTTGTAATTTTAACTGTCAGTTGTTACTATCAATGTAAAACGAAAATTGTTAATAGCTAAAATTACAAACAAAACCGCCCGTGAATCTAGATTATACTCATTTCAAATTATTCCTGATTTCGATAGCAAAACAAGTTCAAACCAAGAACATAGACATAGAACATGAAATTGAAAATAGAATATAGAAAATAGAATTGAATCGTAATTTTAAATACGATTCACGTTAAAATTACAAAACGACGTTGATTTTAACTTGGGTAGTTCAGCATAAATTTGAGGAATGGATGACATTTTCATACAAAATAAAAAAAAACTTATTACATGTATATATCGTATGTTTATATATCGTAAATAAATATTTTGTGACAGTAATTAAAAAGTGTATACATATGATATATCAATTATAATCAGTTACAATAATACATCGTGTAAATCGATGTTTTTGCTTTTTGATTTCAGATGTCAGTTTAAAATTTTTGACAGCTAAAATTACAACCAGAATTCTCTTGTGAGTCCAATATTATTCGATTTCGTGTTTTTCAGCTAAAACTATTAAAGGAATATCTCACTGCCTGTACACTTAGCATTATTTGCTCTCTTCCACACCTGTGCGGATGATCTAACGCAATTGCAAGAACCTTGAATATTCTATATGTGTACAACTTTTATGGCATATAACCTTGCATATGTGCTCATATGTCTTTTATTTAAAAAAAGTTTATAGCTGTCCGTTAATTGCACTAGTAAGTTTCAACATCCGACACCAATTCAAAAGTAGTGATAAATATACATTGGCATGTAATTAATATATATATATAAATATCTATATACCTGCTCAAAAAGTACTCGGATTTTGTAAATGAAACACACAAATTTAAATTTTATTCCAAATTTATTTTATCATCTTGAAAATATGCTCCTTCTCAAGCGGTACACATATGCCAACGCTTAACTCAATCTTCCATACACTTTTCGTAAGCCCATGAAGATATGGCTTTTAGTTTCTTTGGCGAATTCTTTCTTCCGATTCAGTCGACTCAAAACGCTTAC